CCCATGCATCCGGATAGAATAGGAAAACAACCTTGGGCCATTTTGTCGTCAACTAGCGATCGCAGCCTTTCACTTCTGCTCGGGCAACCCGACGATCATGTGTGCCACGACGAGTCACTTAACGCCGCGGTGGTCACGCAGTTTGCGAACGCATCTTGCGAGCTGTTGGGATGCAATCGGTCAGGCAGACGCTGCACGCTGTCAGGAGACGCCAGCGAGATGCCGGATCCGGGCGCATCGCTGCATGTGCCTCGTGCAACGAGGCACTCTCGTTGCACGCACCACGCAACCGGCCACTGCATATGACCGGATCGCATCGGTTCCAAGTCTCGAATACTCGGCTGTCCTCGCCCAAGTGTCTGCCGTCAACAAGACAGTCTATGCGTACCTTGATGCATTCTGCGACATTGTGTGCCCAGACGACACCATCGACAACGACGAGGTTTGCGATGGGCCGGATGTCGCCGACGACGACGACGAAATCATCAACGCGCTTGAGGCTGTCGCTGGGCTAGTGACCGAGCGCGCGTCTGATGACGACCAATACGGGCATGTCAATACAAGCGACGATCAAGTCGATGTCCTCCGGTCGCCGCACATTGGTAGCACGGACGTTGATAACCAAGCTCCAGGCAGCACTAGCGACCCGTTGGTGGCTGTCGTCACGAGCGACGACGATCCAATTTGCGAGTGGTGCTTAAACGACGTGCTCGTGGCATGTGTTTTCCCCCATTTGTTTATGCTCGGCAAAGGTATGGCACAATGCATCTAACAACAATGCGTTCATGCTGCTCTATACTATAGGAGCTCCAAAAGGAAGCATGAATCCAGCGCTACTGCGTCACTTCTTCCGCTTTTACGCCGGCCGCTTCGATGATCCTCACTTCATTCCCACGGCGTTCAACCAGCTGCAACGACACGCCTGCGTGCGCCAGACGGCGCGCATTGGTGCAACTTCCATGAAGCAGCTGGAGTAACTCGGCAAGCTTGCGAACCAAGGTCCCTTGTTGCGAACTCGCCCAAATTTCGACAACAACTCATTTGGGACAATCCGCACAGCTCACAGGCAAAGAAGATCAACGCACGGGAGCACGGGAGTCGCGCATTTTGAGCATGGTGGGCTCCGCTGTGCCTTTCAGTCCCTTCGAGCGGTCCGCAACTCGGTCAAAAATTGCGGCTCTACGGCTGCGATTCGGCCTTGCGAGCTACTTTCTCACGGGGGCACCGCCCGAGTTCGAGGCTTTGGATGTGATTCGCCACGCGCTCATCCAGAATTGGAACGCTGCTGCATGCCCATTGTCATCATCTGGCTTCGAGCGGTTCCGAGCACCTCGTACGACGATGGACGTGACTGACGACGACGTGAAGGCCAAAGTCACCGACAACATGGCATAATCCATATGATTTCATCGTTCCTACCAGCCCACTCCCCCGGACCCTAGTACTAGTAGGATCCAAATCCTTTGTCTATGCGATTTGATTGGCTCAGCCTAAAAAAGTGTGCAATACAATTGGCTGGCCTATTTATGCTGTGGATCTGATAGGAGCTCGAATGGGATCCTTCTACAAGCTTTTGTCTCGTCGGGCCGAAGAAGGTGCAGACAAGCAATCGTCTGTTTTATAGTACAGTAGTTCTGTTGGCTAAATTATGCTACTTGAGCGCTCGGGGGCATGACTCGTTGGCTCGCAACTATGACACACCATTCGCCTTGAATATCGCGATGATCTCTCCAATGCCTAGAGATATGGGTAAGACTGTATGGTGGCATGATGAAAGCACAAACCCATTTGGGCTGCGCAATGGTACGGCGTCATGTTATTCTTGGCAGCGCTGTTGACAGGAGCGCCCGCCGCGATAAGAGCTTGAACAACACCCGCACCTACACATCGTACTCACTTGGACTGCAACAGGTGGCCAGGGTAACCTTTGGCGCGCGCCGCCGCAATGTGCAGTGGCTGCCACCCTTTCTTGTCGAAAAGAGTCATCGAGACCCCTGTTTGGACTAACAACGGCACAAGAGTCGGGTCCAAAGTCTCTGTGTCGATCTCGGCCGCGACGTGTAGGAGCGAAGCACCCGTTTCGCGGTCTGTCACCGTCAAGTCGAAGCCATGCGATATGAAACTGGATAGGACATCGACGCGACCGCAGCGGGTAGCAGTCTGAAGCGGTGAGTCGCCAGCAGCATTCACCTGTAGCTCGTGAGTCACTAAGCAACTCCACTGCATTGATTACCCGTGTGGAGAGGGGAGCCGCGGCGGAACTCAGGAGCTTGTCGACTGCGTAGACATAACCCATTCGACACGCCAAGTGCAGCGGCGTATCAAGGGAGCCCTTCAGTGGCTCCGCCCATTCGACAACTGGAGTTTGCGCCAAGAGGTAGTCCACAGAAGCGTCTTGTTTCGACGCAATCGCGGCATGGAGCAAGGTCGCGTTCTGTGGATCCGTCTCGTCGAGCGCGACACCGAACGCTCGAAGCACCTCGACGCACGCGATGTGACCGCGCTCAATGGCAGCAAACACCGCCGAGCGGCCGCGTTGGTCTCGAAGAGAAGCTGCGCGGGCCTCTGCCTGCAAGAGGACTCGAAGCGCCGCGGGTGATGGGTTCATAGCGGCGTAGTGAATCGGTGTTCGGTCGTCCAAGTCTGCGCAACTCACACGCGCGCCAAGGTTCAGCAGTTTCTTGGTACCCACGGCACTGCCGACCTTGGCAGCATCGTGCAGCGGTGTCAACCTATTGTAGGGACAAATGGTCTGCTTCATGGTATAATTCGGGGCGTGGAGTACCCTGCATTGTCCTTGATGTCGACATGGACATTGCGCACGGCAATGATCTCGCTGAAGGTGTAGCCATGACTAGCGGCTTCGTGCAGGACACTGCGGCCTCTATGTCAAAGATGCTTGTACCACATAGCCGAAGAGAGACAGAACACACCCATCGTCTTGGTGCAAGATATTGGCACCATGGGATAGCAGGTATAGAGCTACGTCGCTGTGAGGGGCACTGTGGAGGAGCGCTGTTCGCCCCGCGTTGTCGATCTCGTCGATGGTCGCGCCGCGTTGGACGCAAAACCGAACCACCGTCGTGAACCCTTTCATCGATGCTTTCATGAGCATCGTGCGGCCATCGCTCGCGTCGCGCTCATTGATGTCCAGGCCCATTTCCAGAAGGAGCTCGAGGTTGCGTAACGGACCCTCTAGTGCCGCCGCGACACGCTGCGCTGGCGTCAACACTGCCTCATCGTCGTTCATATCGTCTATCGTGTCGGTGTCTTCGTGCTCGTCCGTGAGACTCCAGCGCTTCCGGATCTCGCTGGCGATGGCATCGTGACCGCACGAAAGAGCAACCCGCCACGCTGTTTGGCCATGACCGTCCAAAATACTCACATCTACACCTGCAATTCGACGCACAACGTGTGAGATATTGATGACGAGAAGAAGCTCGCGATTGTACCTGCGCATAGCAGCACGATAACCATCTCGAGGCTGCCGGTGCGGGCGGCGTAATGTAGAACGGTCGCGCCATGCACGTCTTGGTAGTTGACCTACGCTTCGCTCAGAACCAGCAGTTTTCCAAATATCGAGCATACAGTGGCCTTTGGGCAATGGTCAAGGAGAAATTGCACTGTCGCAAGGTCACCGCTCCGGACAGCTTCATGTAGCGGCGTTCGTCGCCACTCCACGTCTTGGGTTGTGCCACTTAAGCCATGCAGTAAGAGTTGTTCAACGGTTGTTAACATCGCATTGCGTGCCGCGTCGTGCAAAACCGTCCGTCCCGTTGTGGCGAGCTCCGGGTTTTTTGTCAGCAAGTAATCAGCCACGTCGGCGTGCCCGTAGTGAACAGCGAGCATGATTGGCGTCATTTGGAGATGGTTTGCAGCGTTCAGTCGGACGCGGGTAATCAGAGACCGCACAATGGACAATTGCCCAAAGCGACTCGCAATGCAAAGCACCGTGTTCCCTACGCTGGCAAGATTTAGAAGATGTCACTCAGCGCGTCGGTACCGTTGTGATCTAAGCCGTTCGGGTCCAAAGGCGCCTCGATACCGAGTCCGTCGAGCAAGTCGACAACTGCTTCTTGGTTGCCGCGCCGTGCTTGAATAAAAACGTCGACTTGTTGCTCAAGGCGCAATGTGCGCGCTCGGCAGCGCCCAAGAAAACCGGAAACAGCTCGAGCAATCGCCATCGAAGCCAACAATCGATTTTCGGCAGCGCAACATGCCGCGCGGCGCACAGTCCGACGCCGTCCGAGGTGTCCACGGTAGACGCGCTGGATTAGTAAGCTGGCCGCGACCATGATACTTTGTCGTTCTAGCGCGCGAAGCCGTGAGACACGTGCTCGACTCGTGAAGCCGCGCATCCAGCGTTGTAGGAAGATGGCGGCGTAATCATTTTGTGCCTGCTGCGTTCGGCTGGCTTGAAGCCGCAGCGCTTTGGTCGCTAGCATGCACGTTGTGGCATTCTGAAGTATACGTGTTGCCGCGGTCTGAAGACAGTAACGGCGCATGCGAAGGACACCGCGCGCAATGTACCCTCGGTAGAGTCGCTGTAGAAGCAGCGCAAGGCGAAGGCACAAAAGCTCGTAGTGCCGGAGCCGAATTTTGCGCACGTAGCAACGCGCCAGGCGCTGCCGGACGTAGGATTGGATCACGCGCGCACAGTCGTTGAGGACTTCTTCCGCTACCATACGCGCCTCTTTGCGGCAAATGGCAAGTGCGAGGCGCTGGCGAAAGATACGCTGTATGCGCACCGCTGCATTCGTGCACTCGTGGAATCGCGCTCGTGTGCGGTCCTTCTCCTCGAGTATGATGCCAGTGCCGTACGTCACGTCCTTCATTGCGACGCGTACTTTGTTCCGAATGACGAGAGTCTTCTTGAGTCGGTCGAGATTCTTACGGAGCGCATGGCCGCGCTGCGTGCGCTGAATCGTACATGCGGCCTTGTACTCGCCCTACGTAAAATCATTTATACGTCACTCATAATTGAGCAAACCTCAAGGCGGGTGTGGCGGTGTGAATCTAGCTTGGACATAAAGATAGATCGCTCGAACGAGAGGGCTTTGCGGTAGCGCTACAGCATTCTTCAATAGACGTCAAGTTCACAAGACAGAAAGAATACCTCCAGGTTGTCGCGGTCGCGGTCACGGTCGTTTTGGAGAGGGTTTACATAGAGCGGGTCGTTGAATGTGTCGGCATGGTTGTGACGCCTTGCGTGGCTTTGTTGGGCCGATGCGATCCGTGACTGCGTCTGCACGGTCGTGACAATTGACACGACGTCGCTGTACGTGCATCGACGAGTGCTGAAGTACAATGACGGTGCGAGCGAGAGCCCTTGGTGAACGTTCACGACGCTATTTTGAAGCTTTTCTGCCTGGTCGGCCAGCCAAGCGATGCGAGATGCACTGTCGTCGGACATCGAGGGCCTGCGGGAAAGCACCGGAAAGCCGCCTCTTCGTACCGGTTGGATATCGACGCCGCTGATTGGTTGATGGCGGATCCAGATCTCTCGGAAATAGTGTGGTTTTTGGATTATGGATGCTGTCGATCCATATATACTCGGCAGAGTGGGCTGGCAGGAACTCTTTGTTGAGAGGAAGTGAAACTGATGGTCCCATCGGCAGTGGAGTGAAATATGAAAAGATAAGTAAATGCTTCATGGTACCTGGTAGTGGTTAGAATAAATTGCGGAGGGTAAACTGCAGTCGAAGTACACGCAGGTTGTGGTTGTGTCATACTACTGAGTGCCGTACCAGTGGAGGAGACGCCGTGCCTCGGGCAACGAAGCAGTGATAGAAATGCACGTTTTGCCGGACGTCGAGATGGTCAGCTCGTAAAAGTTGTTGCCTTGAAATGTTGAAGCAAGGGGACCCGGCCGTGGCCTTCTCACTCGGCGTCTCGCTGGCCTTCTGGGTGGCGCGTGGCGAGGCTTGGCCCGCGCGCAATCTTGACTTCCGCCTTCTTTTAGGAAGGGAGCTGGAGCCTGTGTCTTCCCCGTTCCTCGATTAGTTATGTGGGAGCGAGAACTTTTGCAGTGGGCAAGGGCAAGTGGGGCGAGGAGACAACATCGGTACAAGGGCAAAAAATGTCGTTGGACACTCCGCGATACATGGTACGGATCGATGAACACGGAGGCAGACAGGCAGACAATCCCCCTTGGGCTGGTGTAACAAGAGGCTCCTACCAGTATAACCGATCCCTTGCGGGGTTTGCTAGTATAAACAAACCAGCATCGCGCGCACTTGTGAGATAGTGTTGAGAATGACGTTACCACAGTCGTAGTCGTTGGGTTGTTGAGTTACCCACGAGACGATGCGTTGGAAGTGGAGATGGTTGTCGATGTCGAGAGTGGCAAAATCATCAGCAAATGTGAGGAGCTCCAAGTTGCGTGTGTGTGGCCTGCCGCTCTTGGTTCATCATCGAGTCCAAGATTGTGACCTATCCGCGAGAATCGCCTGGCAGAAGAAGCTGCCAGTGGTCGTTGTTTTTGCAAATCAGTATGAGCCACAAAGCACAGGTGCGCAGATCGGTGGCCTCGTTATGGAAGCGCATGACACTTCATTCTTCCGTGGTGATGCGCGCTGTCCAGTTCATTGGGTTTGTCTGGTAGTTGGTATAATGGCACATCGAGACGAAAGCAATCTTGTCGCTCGCGTGCGCGGTGGTCAATTGCATGAAGCGCTCAGCGGTTGTTTCGATGAGCCACACTCCCCAGACGTGTCGTTTCCAAGAATTGGGCGAGGTTTTCCGCGCAAGGTCGAGCGTTCTAGAAGACCTCGATGTGGAAGCACGCACACGTTAAAAGATCCAGGCGCAGAGCAAGCGGCTCGAGTCATCCATGAATTTGTAGTATCAGTCAAAAGCTAAGCTTCTCCAAGTACCTTGCTTTCTCACGGCGACATATGCCGCATCTGCGCGGCAACCAAGGCCCCAAGCTTAGTCTCTCAATGGTGGTTTCCAGCTCGGTGCGCCTCAAGGAAGGCGCTTGGTTGCTGACGTCATCATTGACGAGTCCGACACCGTCCGCACGCTTGCCCGGCCCCGACGAGCGACGATCAGCTGGCGCACGCGACGGTGGCCGTCGGGCGTGCGACGCACCGTGGTTTCGATGGCCTTTAGCCAAGACGCCGACACCCTTCGCATCTACGCCTCCAGCGCGAGCAGCGCGCACGCAACCGCACTGCGGCCACTCGGTCGCTATACCAGCATACACGAGCAGCAGCCCAAGAGCGCGCTCACAATTCTACCTACTCATACCAAGGGCACTGGCGATTTACTAACACGCAGTATCTAGCGCCCCTGCCAATTGCGTCCCTGGCGCTCGTGGGTGAGTGCGATACGGTCCGTTTTCCCTACCCGTCTCGGCACCTTTGTTTTTCGCTCAACTGGCGCGCCAACCTCGCTCTGACCTCGCTCTGTGGTTGTCGACATCTACACGTTCGGCTTCGCGATCTCAGTGTATATGACGATGGTGCACTTGCCTTGGGCATTAATCTGCTCGACTACGCCGACAAGTTCTCCCAGCAATGCGACGTCATCAGTACCGCAGCTCACAAGACGTTCGCGGTTTTTGTTCTCATTTCCCCCCTCGCGACGGCGGCCTGCGGCGTCGCTGGCGCCGTCGCGAGCTTTCCAGGCGCAAACCCGCGACCCAGCTCACGGCCAGCGCGACAAGCCACGAGGCGGTGGCAATACGACAGGCCATCGAAGGTCGCGGTCAAGGGGGGCAGTCAAAGCCATGCCGACCAAGCACTCGCTAATTCTGTCAGACGCTCTGGGTGCGCCTTTTATATGGCGGGGAGCCACAATTGCAAGCCCGCGGAGCTTGTCGAAGCTTTAGTGCCTGAGCTCTGTAATATACAAATGGTGCACCGGTGTTGACGGGCGGCTGCGCATTCACACGGTCGCGATGGCTCTCACCAACACAACCCGGCGGCGCGCTGGGGGGGCTTTGAGTGCGGACTTGGATCTGTGAAGGTGCCAGGGTGGGTACTTGTGCGTCCCACCTTGGACAAATCACGCAACTACACCCGCTCGGTTTGGCAACAGCGCCGGCACCAGCGACTCTGTCGTCTCGGCATAATTAATCGCAACTGGGCCTGTGCGCGTTTCCGGGCACGGCCAATATATTCGCCACACGGACTGTCAATGCGTCTTCGGTGGCAACCGGGGCACGCGGTGACTCTGTTTGCGTCTTCGGGCGCGGCCGAGTTATTCGCCACTCGGACTGTCAAGGCATCTTCGGACGTGCTCGAGGCAAACGCTTCTTGGTGTGCGTGCATCGTCAGACGAGTGGAGGGTGTTACGATGACATGCCGTCAAGCATGATTGTCAAGGACCGACTTGATGGTACTGATGCCAACGTCAATGGGAAAGAGAAGAGAGGGACAACACCGCACCTCCTGAGTGTGAAGCAGGAATCCACCGACTGGACAAATGGTGGTCGATTAGTGTGCCGCCCGAGTTCACGGCGACGATGGTTGATTTTTCAGCGGCGCTCGCTACATGGCTCGACTGAACCAACCACGAGGCGAGTCTACGTCTTGAGTTCAAGCAAGACCTGCGCGCTCAGCGTTTCGGTGGACCCCTTAAGCGTCCTTCGGTGGTGAAGGCAGCGTCGAGCTGCGAGTCTCAGTTTGGCAACTGGCAGCGGCAGCGCGGTTGCGCCCCAATCCGTGGTTGTACTGATGCGCGGGTGTCGCCAGCAGATCACCGCCCCAGGAAACGACGCTCCTCTAAGAGTTCAGCTCGCTCGTCATGGTCACCCGGTATGCAATGCCATCGCACAAAAATCTGCGGCATGCCGCGGACCCCTGGTTCAACCTGCCGGCACCACATCAATCTGCACCGACGATGTTTCAGAGAAGGATCGATGCGGTAGCTGCTGTCCACTCGGCCTCGAGAAGATGAGCCTCCAACCTCTCTCGGTCGACGCACGTCTCATCCACGTCTTGATGTTTTTGAGCGGCGAGTCGTTTCAAATTCACACTCCCGCAAGGTCGTCCTATCACTGCTCTCGTGGCTACGCTTGGCTGACGTAGCAGCGGGCATCACTTGGTTACTTGCGTAGGTACATAACCTGGTTACGTGCGACAGCTTCAACGAGCGCGGACGTGATGGGACATCGGGTGCCACTGCTGCAGTTTTCTCGACACCTGCGAGGTTGTGCAGCTGACAGCAACCAATTTTGGTTGCTCCGCCAACGCATTCCGCGTAGTCGGCAACGCGATCACGCGGCTCGTCCAAGGCGTATCTCTGAGCAGCATCATTTCCAGCACAACTCGGGTCACGCCCCCTTTGGGTGCTTCAACTACAAGTGTGCATCGACGAATGTATCCTCATCGAGCTCGCGTCAAGCACTGACATGCTCGTAACACTGGAACCAAAACGTCGTCAACGAGAAGGCGACCATCCATGATCCGTCACGTTTTCTGGGCCAGCGACCTCGTTCGGAACCTCGAGTTTGGTGTCGTCTCTTTGCTCACCGGAAAAATTGCCGCGCGCCCATGCGTGTTCACGCTCACAGCCGATCCGCACCGCGATTTGTAGAGCGCAGAACTTTGCTCGCACACGGCCGCTCACCAAGACCAACACGTCTTTCTACTGGGCGCTCGCTTATTTTGGCCTCGCGCAGGCTCCAGTTCCGGGCCCGAGCTGACCTCGACGTACTGGACGCGACCTGGTCGGTGGCACGCTTCGAGCACGTCCCAACGTATGTCTTTGGCAACTCCTCCCGGTCATCTACCAGCTAAAGATGGACGCCGCTGCCGTCGGCATCGCCATCATTGAGCATTGTCACGGTTCATTCGACTTGATGACGTGGAAGAGGAAGCTAGCAAGGCAACGGCGATGCAAGCTGATGTCGACACATCCATGAACATCCGCGAACGCTTGGGTGTTGATCTCGCGGCGTGAGAGTGGGGAAAAGAATTGCGGGACCCTTCAGCACCTCAACCGTCAACATCGAGGTGCTGGCCATCAACACCACTGCACTCGTGTGGCAACTTGGCGTTCTCTGTGGCATTGTCCAGTGGTGTATGGTGTCAACATCGGGTCACTTCGGCGGCGCAAGCAGTGCACTGGCTCCGGGTCTCGACACGTCACAGTCTGGGACGTAGCAACTCGCTCCTAGACACAGCCGTCGCCACGACATACGTCAACATGAAAGACCCACACGGCTTCGTGGGCAGACACACCGAATACAGCACGCCTGCGCTGGATGTACCGAGCACTCGACAAAAATGCGCAGCATCCTTGGCTGTCATCTTTGGTCAAGGTACGAGCAGCAGTCAGCATACAGACACGTCTGGCGCGAATGGACAACCTTCCCCAAGCTCGACGCAGCCCTGCACACCTTCGCAAGTGAGCTCACCCAGCGGCCCGTCACAACATCCAAGCGGCGCCGTTATTTGACGGAGC